TCACGGAGAAACCTGAAAACCCAAAAGCAAGTTCACTAGTCAATCTTGGGAGGGAATTAACTGCTGGAATGTCATGCTGTTATGCCCCACAGCACAGCTGTAACTTCCTCATCACTGAGTCCTGAACCTCAGTCCCATGCAGACATTTCCTCTCACAGTAATGAACTCCAGCATGTGTCACCATGCCTGTTGTTTCATCAAATCATCCCTCAGTACCCTTCAACACAGCAGCCACTTATAACATTCAGCATGATGATTTGAACCTCTAACTCTGCTAGAGAACAAGTATGGTTTAATGCTTAAAGCACGCAGCTAGAGAAAGGGTAGAGTCAGGAGATATGGATTCAATTTCCAGCTCTACGAGTGATTCATTGCGTGTCTCTGGATGTGTTGCTTAACCTCCTTGTGGTTGAGTTTCCCCATGAGCACCCAAGCAGACAACCTGGAAAGAGAGCTGTCATACTTAATTCACTAAATATGCTTGTACAACTTTGAGAGCCTAGAGGCAGAGATGCCAATGAGACTCAAGACCTAACCATTTCCAGCAACCTCCTTAGCATCAGTCAAGCTCGTTATACAGCCAAAGCCTCTCTCACAAGAATTTTTTTCAACCAAACTGAAAGATTTCCCACTCCCCAGTGCACTGGAATGCCTTGTATGGGGATGCCTGAGCAATTCTGGTGCAAGGAATGGAAGCATACAGAAAGTCTCTTCCTCCTTTGGACCCCATTCCACTGGACTCACCTCCTCTCTTGAAGCACTGAGGTGAAGATCTGTAGAAAGTCTTCAATAAAGGGCTGAATAGTCTCACAACTGTAAAAGACAATGCCACAATAGTAAAAACTTAAATTCTGAGATGAACATTTCTCCTCCTGAATCTTTTTGTCCACCTGTCAAGTCTGTGGCAAAATCCCATTTCTCCAACACATTTGATTCCACTGGCACCACTGAGATTTCACATTTTAAAAAGCTACAAAAAGTGAAACTTATCAAAGCTTTTCTCAAGTGTTTTGAACACTTCAGCAAACTGAATCATTTCACCTTTGGGACACAGTTAGGAAAGTGAGAGTTCCAAGAGGCTTGAAAACCACAATTCACACTGTAAGAAGTCCAAAGAGAAGTCACAGCAGAGGGGGGGTGAAAGCAGCTGTTCTGTGTTTTTTTTAATCAAATTTTGCAAGACCGATCTTCCATATGACACTACATAGACTCTCTCAGCTGATGGGTGGTCTCTTTCACCCCTTTTACGTGGGCATATGTGCCAAATGAGTTCTCACTCTCGAGCCCTCTTTCCTATAGATTCTCAAATTCCCCTTGCTCCTGCTGCCTTGAGCATCGCTACAGAAGCCAAACAGATGTGAAGGCCAAGAACCTCCACTTCACAAATCAAAGTACTCCTGGCCAGTGGATTACTACAAAAATAGCTATTTCTCTAGAAGTCGAGCATGTCACTGCCACAATAACCATAGCTCCTGCCAACCTGGGAATGAAAAGCTTCTGGTTATTTCAGACTACCTTTGGCTGCTCTTGTTGTCCATGAACTACGACGATGTTCCGTATTACTGTACAATTCAAGTGCCTCCCAACCTAACACATTTATACTTATAACACCCACACAAAGTATAACAGTGCTATTATTTTACAGATGAAGAATTGAGACAGAGAGGTTAAGCTCTCAATCTATTCCAACTCTGTGTAGCCTGTGTAACTAACAAAGAGCAGCAAGGAAGAGGAGGAGGACTATTTAATGTAAAATTCATTAACACTATTGGGAGCAGGGGCCAGAACCCAAGACTACCCTCCTCTCCCAGGAAGGTGTCCACTTCACTGGACTAGAGTGTTAGGCTTAATTTTACATGCTATCCTTCTGCCCTCAAACAACTCTTATTTTAGTGGCCCAGGTTCAGCTGGAGTTCTGGAAGATGCCCTCAGGCCCAACTAATCCATAGTCCAGTGGATAGGACACTTTGCTGGGAAGTGGGAGATGTTAGTGCAAACCCCCTCTGGCAGAAGAAGGCTTAAAACCAGGGTTTCCTACTTTCTATGCAAATGCCCTAACCTAATCACTAAGCGATTTAGCAGACGTGGGGTAAACCTGCCTCCTAATCTTTCTCTTGACAGGATCTTTCCATGGCAAGACAGATGTGTATGGAACCTATATGTTGCAACAGATTTTTGACTGCTGCACAGGATGGAATAGGATTACCTTTAAATGACTTAAATGTCTAAAAGCCTCCTAGATATCTCAGAGGCAGAACAGGATCTAGTCCCAAGTGATGTGCTCAAAATCACAAAGGAAGTGTGTGGTGGATCAGGGAACCTGAATCCAGGTAAAAAGCTATCACCCTAGCCCATTCTTCCTGTGCTTGGACAACTTTTACTGATGACAACTAGAGGGCAACATTTGAGTACCAGCAGGGCCATAATAACACGCTTGGTCCGGATGCAAATGGTCTACATTTACTGCATGAATCCAATGAATGAATGTAGAAGCAGCATGGTTCAGTAAATAGGGCAAATGCCTTTGAGTTGAGTTCTGGCCATACCATTACCCAAATGTATGGATTTGAAGTCAGTTGCGTCATTTCTTTGTGCTTTAGTTTCCCCACTTATAAAATAGGGATAATTATACTTGCCACTCCTAAAATTCCTGTTAAAATTTTCTATCTGGTGAAAATAGAAACTAAAACTGAGCTTAAAGCTTCCATATCTATATTTAGAAACCTCCTTTCCAATGAGCCAAAACACTACATGGCTTTTCATGTATTTAGATGGTGCTAAGCTGCTCCTTGCCATGGTGTCCAAATGTTGGGTTTGAAGTTACAGTGTATTCCATAACCAACATTATCACATCCACTGGGCCATGACTTTGTCCCACTCTTAATGGGGGTCAAAACAAAACCCACTTTGTAAGCATTTTGGATCAGAGAGGATTTCACGCTTCTCCAGAACCCAGCACAACTGGGTTTTGGTCCCAATTCAGGTCTTTGGGCAAATGTAAGTGACAAAACATAATATTTTACCAGTATTTTCCCTAAGGTGAGCAGGTAAGATATTGTTCTGTACATACCACCACAGCAGTAGGTCTCAGTCTTACTATATAAATAAAGAGTCAGTACCTGCTTTCTAAGATGGGCTGGAGACATATTTGGTTAGTGAGGATATGGAAAACCTCCACCACCTTCTTCCTGGAATGAGACAGTCGTCTCCACAAGTCAGTCAGTAAACTAGAGAGAGCAAGAGAATATTATCAATACAAACCATCCTATTTTCAAGATGCTGACCTTGTCTATTCTAGAGGAGAAGCTGTTAGGTGACCCATTTTTATGGTTCATCTCTGCTGTAAGGAACAGACAAAACCACTTCCCATTTATTTTTTAATGCATATTCTACGGAAGATTATTCTAGAACACTTCTGAAATGCTGCACCCCGCCCCCCACACATTAGCTGGACAAATAGTACAGACATGAACTTTGTTTTCAAATGTAATGTGGCGAACCTAGGAATGGAAGTGCTAATGGTTTTTTGGGTTTGCTTGGGTTTTTTTTTTTAAATATTTGTGCTGTATCGCTGCATCTCTCTTTGGACACTATACTACACAGACTTTCTCCTTAGAAAGTAGTGAAAGATTTCATTAAAAATTCCTCAGTGATAAAAGTTTCTACTGAAACTAGAAAAAAGGCTCTTTGAAGATGACAAGGAAGGTAGAGAGAGACTGAAGTAGGTAGGGAAGGGTGGAGTGCGTTTCTAATCCACCCAGGGGAATTTTCATTGAAAATGACAGGGAAGTTTTCTCTGTCACCTTTTACCTGTTATCTTCACATCTCCTCTTCCTAATTGCAGATTCCAGCTCAGGAATTATCAGTTCATAGAATGATGCCAATCTGCAAAAAACAGGTCATAAAACACTTTGCTGAAGACAAATCTCAGAGCAAACAGGATTCTCAGTTTTAATTCCTCTGGTCTGATTCTGTAATCACTCATCCCTATCAGTTCCAAATGCCCCCGTTTCATTATAGCTCATTTCCAGAAATGTAATAAATAGATGAGTGGAAGGGAGAGAGAACCTCCCTAAGGATCAGGGTTAGCACTTATGCTGCAGACAAATGAGATGCCTTCAGAGCAACCTGGTATTGAGGCAGCAAACAATCTGCACCACTACAGAGCATCCCAAGCAAAAATCTGCAGACCATGATCACATTGAGTTACTGAGTTGAATGCAGGCTTGTTTCTGTAAAAATCTTCTCTTTCCTATACTCCAAGTAATCAGAGGAGGTAGAGAAAGAGAATTTATTTACATAAGGCAATTACTATTTCTGCTATCCAGATGTGCTAAAGGTAAACATATAGTTGGTGGTGTCAGATTTCCAGCAAGAGAGGCTCAGTTTCATCTGGGAGAGGGAATAATGCAAGTTGGTTTGTTCTAGTACTACATTACAAGTTCCAAATAGCCTGTATATAACTGTCATACCTTAAAGACAAAACACCTGAAGATGTAGCTACACTTGTCTTCACAGACAATTCCAGTAGAAATGGAATTCAATTTAACAATGTTAAGTGCAAAGTCATGCACTTAAGGACCAATATGCAGAAGCACATAGACTAAAAACATATGAAGAACAAAGGCACCTGGGAATATGAGCTGATCATACAATGATCATGAGCTGCCAGTCTGACCATTTTTTAAAAGGCCAATGTAATCCTAGGTGGGGTTGGTGGAGTCTGTGCTAAAGAGACAAGCAAGTATTAATAACATCATACAAGGTGGCAGGGGCCAACCTTTTTGCAAGATGCCATTCCTATCCCCTTCTCCTGCCTGATCTGCAGCTCTGCTTTCTGATTCCTGCCCTGTACTCCCTGCTAGATCTGCCGCTCTGGTTCCTACTCGCCGCCCGTTCTGCCACTGTACCACCTGTCCTCTCCCCCTCCCTGCCCCACATTTGCTGCAAGCCATACAAAGAGCATGTCCATGCCATTTGTACTGCAGGTTGACCATCCCCACTGTAAGGCAATGGGAAGATTCCATTTAGAAAGGTGTGTGCTGTTTTGGTCACCAATATTCAAGAAATATTAACTTAAACTGGAAGAAGTTCAAAGAAGGGCCACTAACCCTACTGGGTGGAGACCTTTTCTTATGAAAGCAGATTAAAGGAGCTTAGCTTGTTTAGTTAAGCAAAAGGAAGATTGAGGGGGAACGTGATCATTCTTTACAAGTACCTGCATGTAGTAAACATTAGGAAATGGGGAAGAGCTTCTCAGCCTGAAAAATAATACTGGCACACAGTCGAAAATGACTACAGATATAGTTAGATAGAAATCTCTTAATATCCTATCAGAGAAGTGAGCTTTTGAATGCTCTGCCAAGCAAACTGAAGGCGGGGGAGGAAATGGGACAAAGAACCTGAATCTCTTTTTTCTAGAAACAGTATCACTGGGCAGGGAGTTCTGGCTCACCAACCAATGCATGTGATATGGAGTCAGATGTCCATTTTCCCCAAGCTAGAGTATAAAAAGGTAGCTTGTGTAGTGTGGAAAGCATCTACAAGCCTCAGGAATTTTGCTGGGTTTCTCTCCCTGAAGGCTAATGGCTTTGGGGGAAAAGGGATGTGGAAAGATGCCTCTCTCTAAAAGGCGTTGGTTACAACTAACTACACGGGCCAGAACACCCAGATCAAGATGGACCCATCCATGCTAAGACCTCGGGTCTCTACAGATCATTGTTGCAATGTTGAAGCACCTGCAATCTGGGCCATCTTTTGGAAACTGGGCTGCACCCTGCATAATGTCAAAGCACTCTTTAATAGATGCCTGCCCACGTACAAGGCTGCCAGCCTGTAGTCCCAGCACCTGAACAACTCTCTGCCATTCCCAAAAGTTTATGATAAAAAATACAGTTGTGCCTCAAAAGAAAACTTGGGTGGTTCTCTGAGTCTTTTCAATAGGACAAGATATAAACAAATAAGCAAACAAAGCAATTCCTCTCAGCCCCAACAGACCATTTTCCAAGAGGCTCTCCAATACCCTTGCTACAGGGCAGGGGTGGGCAAAATGTGGCCCACCAGGCCATTCTATCTGGCCCACAGGGCCCCTAAAAAATTTAGAAAATTAATATTTATCTGCCCCTGGCTGCCTGGCATGCGGCCCTCGATGGCTTGCCAAAACTCAGTAAGCGGCCCTCCGCCCGAAATAATTGCCCATCCCTGCTTCAGGGACTATTGCCAGAACCTGTCTATATCATGTAGCTCCCTATTGCTACTCTTTCAGCCCTTTTTAGTTACACCTGGCGACATCCCAGCTGGGTATGTATTATAGGGCTGGCTGGTTTCTGTCCCTGACATTTAAGGGCTATCCTTTTACAGGCAAACTGTCACCCCCCACCCTCCTCCAGAGTTCCCTCTTATCCAGCACTACATCTGCCAGACTAAACCAAGCAGCTTTTATTCAAATAGTAACTGCCTAGTCCTTTCATGATAAAAGTAGAGGGAAAGGGCCAAGCAGCACCCAAGCATTTATAGATCACTAAATCAAGCTCTGTCAGAAACTACAGATATACCTGTAACAGAAGTCATGTTTTTGAAAGGTTTGGCAAGCAAGTGGAAAGACATCAAGAAATGCCCAGAGGGAGATGCAGGTGTCACACAAGAACAGCACAATATCCTTCAACTCCTAGAGGAGAAAGAACAATTACCCATAGGGAAGAAAAAAGCCCCACACAGTTGTCCAAACAGCCTTATGTCCTTTATTTACTCAACTCCAAGACGAGGTCCCTGGCCTGATCCCTCCCACCCCCCTTTTAAAATGGGGGTGGGGAACCCCTCGTCTTGGAATCAAGTATGAGGCAGTGGGTAGTTCTGGCCCCAACCTGGGGTTGGGCTCCAGACCAGAGCTACTGCCTACCCTCCACACTCCCACCTCCTGCCTCTGCCCCCCACTCCCCACCAGTCCCTCCCCCATGCCTCCCTCTGGCTTATCTTGCTCCAGCAAGCTCTGTCCCCAGCCCAGCCTGGGGCACAGAACATGGCCCCAGCCTAGCCCTGTAGCAGCATGGATGGAGCATACTGGCACCACAGCAATAGTGTGTGTATGGGTGTGGGATGAGGCCAAGACTGCAGGGAGGCAGGGGCAAGTTGCCTCCCCCCTCCCTGCCAACACCACCTACCCCCTATCACCTGCCACCTACCACTGCTTTCGCCGCTGCAGTGGTGGAGATGAATTTAAGATGATTCTCCAATAATTAGATTCTATACATGGAAAATTTTAACAAATTTAATTTTCCACATACAGAATCTAATTATTGGGAGGCTGTCTTAAATTTGGGGTTATCTTGCATTTAGGGAAATACGGTATTCTGAAAATATTGTGATATATCCACCTCTAGTCAGGATGGGAAGAAGGTCTGGGCTCAGGTCTCAAGTTCCAGCAGGCCTATAACATTTTCATGAGGTGTCTTACATGATTGAAGACAGCATCAGTACAAGAGGACTGGTTCTTCAGAGGACACCAATACAGTTCTGATGAATTATGCTTGCATATATGCTTGCAAGGCATGTCTATTAAGTTAGGGCAGTCCTACCCTAGCTCCATCTTGGGAACTCCTCAAGCTTCTCTCTACAACTAGATATAGTATTCTTCCCCTCCTAACCTGAACTGTTGCATAACATTAGAGCATGAAGTTCAATAACTAAACAGTCCATTTCAGTGGTGGGTAAAACTACTATATATCAGGAATCTGGATGGGTCAGATCCAGACTATGGGGATCCTCAGGCACTGGATTCAGATCTGGCAGTGGCAGCAGCAGGTTAAGCAGTGTCTGGGAACCATGGGGATTAATGCTACTGTCATTTGCCCTGCCCTCCAATTCCCAGTTCCTCTAAAAGCCCCATGGGCCATATGTCTGACACCTCTGCTGCATATGATTTGCATATAAGTCAAGGTACCTTGGTATTGCTATTTGATTGTAGAAATCAGTGTACATTGTACAGCACCTAGAAGAACATGGTCCTTTCCTGCTTGGCACTTAAGTGCATTGCTGTTATACAAACAGTGTTTTATTTTGTAAAGTGCTTTTGTACACTGCTTATATGGGAGTGGAGTGGGGGAACCTCTCTCTCTTCCTTTCCCTATCTCTTGGAAAAGAAACAGAAAATACATATAGCCTGGTTATCTATGAACAAACAATACATGCTCACAAAGCAGAAGAGCCACATCAAGTCACATCAGGGCAATGAAACTATTACTGGGAACAGCATACTGAATGGGATCTAAGTATCTGGGAAAAATAAGACTCTACCACAAGCTTAATACTTTGAGGCCGATTCAAGCATATAGCAATTTTCCTACCTGGAGAGGCAAGTCAGCAGGAGTCACTTTGACTCTTTCTTCCAGTTTCTGGGGTTCAGCTGAGGTACCTTCACATTGCAAGCCACATTTTTGCAGAACGTTGTCGAACACCTAGGGCCAAACGCCCCCCAGAACATTATCATATCAGACAAGGGAATTCACGTGGATTGCTTTAATTTGTCAGTGTGCACTTTTTTTTTTTTATTATTCAGTTCAACTGACAAGATATGTGACTATTTCCACCCAAGGGATAGCTGTGTAACACTAGACAAAGGACAAATTTACATAAATCTTTCTTTTACCCTAGAACTTAAGAAACAACTTTATTACATTTGCATCTTTGGAGATCTGCCAACTCCCTTCCTCCATCCACTCTGAACTCTGAGTGGGCAGCAAAAGGCATTTTTGAAGTTGAATACTCAGATTTGTACTGCTATTCTTTATAATCATCATGTTTTTCCTTGAACTTGCATATGTACTTGCAAAATAGCGATGCTTTCTCTGGAACACTTAACATCTAATACTCAGTATATAAAAGAGAGTTCTGAAGTAGAGAATAACCAACTGTTTCAGGACATACACCATTTAAAAGTGAGCGAATTCTTCACTTCCTTCCCAGTAACTGTTTTGAAGGGATAATCTTACTTTTTAAAACACTTGTAAACATGATGCCATCCCTCATGAGACTGCTCAGCTGAGTTTTACACACCCCGAAATATGATGGAGATGGAAAAAAACCAAGTACTATCAAAAAGAAGAGAGATGAACTCAGATGCTTAGGGGCAAAATGACTTGAATGTTTTTGTCTGAGGACTAAAACATGAGTTTAGTCACAATGATGCCAAGGCATCTTGATTCATGATCAGCTCAAATGTGAGAACTGCTCAGTCAGTGAGCTTGGGTATATGCTACATGCTCAGGGAAATGGAAGTTTAGAATGCTAGACTTACCTATTAGCATCTTAATAGCAGCAGTTTAAATAGACTGGCTGTCTCAGTATTTTCATTTTCTCCCGAGAACCTACTCTGTGTAATTACTGTGATATCTGTCTTTGTCTCAATATTTTGGAGAGGAGCAGGAAATAATTCAAATCACAAGTATCTATCTAGCAAAAAGGGTCCCTAAACTTGAAAGCAAGAACAAATTTCAGGTAGGTGGGATGTAATGGGAGGTTAGTTGTGAACAGGGGCAGACCCAGGATTTCACAAAGTGGGGTGCAGGAGCAGCAATCAGCACTGCAGGAGTGGCTGCACCCCTCCCCACATCAGCATGGGCAGATGGCACTATCAGAACTTCTGGGGACTTTTTAAGTCCCCAAGGCAGGTAAAAACCCAACTTCCCTTCCCCTCTGCACTCAGAGGCATGTCCCCTCTCCCTACCTGCTGCTGCTTCTTTTCCCCACTGCCTAGGCGGTACAGGGCAGGGGAAGCTCCAAAGCTATTTTTGCTCCTTTCAGCCAGGCTGCATGGGGGGGGCCATGCTTAGCTGGGGGTAGCAACAGCAGCAATAAGGGGGGGGGTGTCCCCCTCCCCACACCTGCTCCCCAGAGGAACTAGGCAGAGAGGGGAACCCATGCTCCTGCTGTTCCCAGCTAAGCCCAGCTTCCATGTAGCCTAGCTGGACTGGGCAGGAATAGCTTTGGAGTTTCCCTCATCCCTGGGACAGCAAGGAAAGCAGTAGACAGGGGAATAGTGGGGGGTTGAGGGAGGAGGGAACATGCCTCTGACATGAAGGTGAAGGGGATGGGATTTCTACCTGCTTTGGGGGCTTAATATCTGCAGGTACTCCTCTCACAGTGTGGTCCAGTCCAAAAAGGGGGTGTAATCATACCACTGTTCCTCCTCTGGATCTGCTCCTGGTAGTAAGTAAAGTTGCAGATAAAGGTTCAAAAGCCATCTAGCCCACTGTTTTAATTCATGGAAGAAAGTAACTAGCAACACAAACAATTCTGCCTGCTTTCAATCATCTTGTCCACACAGAGGGCTGATTCACAGCATCTCCTAGGGTTCTCAAAAGTAAAGCAGTACCTGGAGGATTGTGGGGACTGTTTCATTCAAGTCACTGTAGTAACTTGGTTGCTGAGTGAAGATATTTTCTGAAATGAGAAAAAGAAAAAAAATCCATTTCAAATAGATTTAAACCTCCAGCCCAGCAAACAGCATCATATGAAGCAAAACACTTCTGCTTCCTACAGTACCTCTCCATAAAATAAAACCTCAAACCGCTTAGGGGTAGAAATATTCATCTGTAACACATGCACAGTACCTGCTCCAGTACCATCTAGGTACCTTTTAAAATATTAGCATAACTGGAGAATATGAATAACAAGAATATGTGCATTATTTCACAACGCTGAAATGCTAGATGATTCAAGCCCTGCTAGTTGAATCAATAATATCACTAAATACTTCTAGGGATTTTTTTTTTTTGACAGTTGTAGTTGATTTTTAATTGCAGACAACAAATAGTTCAGTGTACACCAGTGAACAGTCTTTCAAACATTTTTTTTAAATGCAATGAGGCCATAATAATTTTTAGTTTTATATTACTCAGAAATCATTATCTTTACCACACACTCAATGGAACAACAGAATGCTACACATTTTGACCAAGCAGTTGAAAGACTACATTATTTTTCTGTGAATTACTCTTTGGGCCTTGTAAATTAACAAGGCTCTTTCATGAGATTTGGAAGAGTTTATGAAGATGAGTGGAAGTTGAGAGAGAGGTTTCAGAGGAGGATTTTATTTCCCACAATAAAAAAAAAAAGCACAATATTTGTTGTATATTTACTATCAAAATTGTTCATGTAGTTACACGACTGCATACACAAATAGCCAGGTAAATAAGTCACTGGACACATGCATGAACAATTAGTGCTTCTGAACACATGATCGCAGTAAGTGAAGGTGCAATTTAGACAAGGTTTTCCCCATCTAGGTCTTAGGCAACTTTTTTAACATCCACATAGTTTAATCTTTTATCTGAATGACAAATGTTTTCTTTATCCCATACTTGGGACTTTGATGAGCAACCTTATACTGAAGGATCTTGAAAGAGGACAAAGAAATCAGCATTTAAAAGTTAAGAATGTATCTAAGTTTCTTTGGTCTGGAAATATGGCTTTTGCATGAACAGGCTGTGTCACAAGGTTTCTGGTACTTCCTGTTCTAGCTGAGTTGGAAACTTGATAAGAATAGTTCTCACAAAGAAAGGAAAAAAAGATGTATTATTCAAATGTTGGGTAGGCTGTGTTAGAATTTTGGATGAAGGGTTCTCTCTCTCATTTAAATTTCAAGACCATGTATTCTACCCTTTCCCCCAACCCTGCACAGGTGAAACTTGAAGATAATCAGGTGTTTTGAAAAGAACAGAAAAAAAAACTACAAGGTCCAGACCGTTGTGCCCTTTCCTCTTATTGTTATATAGGGTCATGTGTTTGCGGCTGAGGTATTGCAATTGCTGCAGTATTTGCTTACACAGATACAATAAATCCTATAATGAACAGTGTGTGTAAAATACTTTGGAGGCACTATATACAAATCAGTCTCTTTTTTGCCAATTTCAAGTTTCTGAATTCACAGATTTAACATGATTGTGTTGTCTAGCTCCTAACTAAAGGAAGAAGACGACCCATATTGATGGCAAATTGTTCTCATTTGCCCCTCAAGTCTCCCCAAGAAAAGGCTTTTTGGTATTTCTTCAGGTAGATCTTCCTTTACTCCATAAAAACATAATCCTTTTAAAAACAGCCCCTCCCATCCCCTTTCGAAGGAATAAAGGAGGTTTACAAGAAAGTAAACCATATATTGCCTAGAAATAAAGATTTGTTTTATTATGAAGTTTATTTTGAGGTTGGTATCTCCAAATGCAACCCCCCTTCCAATGCCTGACAGACACACACCAGAAGCCTTAAGCAACAAGCTGTTTCCTGACTTTGACTAACCAATCATCTTCTGGAGTAGGGGACCATTTCCTTTCCCAAATAGCACGCACAGATCCAGTATCTTAGGGATGTCAAACAGGAAGTTGTTATAAAGAATTTCTCCAAAAACAGACGGCGTGATGAAATGGTCCTGTTAAAAATATATTTAAGATGTAAAATTAGATAAATTATATTAACCTTAAAATAATACATTTCACTCTTCAAGAATTGCAGTATTTAAAAAATAGTGCTATTCTTTTCTCTAGCATGTCAATTGAGCTGCAAAAATGGTACCAGTCCCATGTGAGAGTAGACAAGCATTATCAGCATTTTAAGCATCCCATAGTGCACAGAGAGAACTGTTTTACCAAAGATCACTTCCTTCAGAGACAGAGCTAGGAAGAGAACTCAAGAGTCTTGATTTACGACACATATTCCATGCCCACAAATCATAACACATTAGTCTAGAGGTGGTTTTTAAAATTCTAGATGACAAAGATATTACAGCTAAAATTATTTCATTGCTTCTAAAATGGATAAGAATACAGAATAATTCTGGAGGGAATGACTAATGGAAGAAAAAACTGCTTATGATAACAAACATTATCCAGCCATAGCGAAGGGTAGAAGTTTGCTGCACATCCTCTCCCATTTGAAACAGGGAGGATGGGAAGGTAGAATTGCTGGGGTCCATCTCTAGAATTCCCATTGAGCTACTGTGTAATAATGAGCTAGCAGCTACCCCAGCTCCAACTATATGTGTACGTCACTGGAGTTGTGAGGCTTTTATCAACCAATGTAGAGTAATCCAACTCCAATCCTGAGAGGAAAAACTCCACAGAAGTGCAGAAGTGATGCCCAAAGCAGGCTACATAATTCATTTAACCTGTTGTCTCCCTGCCCGTCCAACTGCCACACACATTCTTTCCCAAAACAGATTGAAAGTGACCAACATAGTGGATATAATAAATGCAATAGCTCAACAGCTACATAATGCAGACTAAAACAAAGAGGCTTTTAAGCCAGTAATTGCAAAAACTCTATCCTGCCCTCAAGGCCCTTGTTAAAGTTCCATATATGTTAAAGGGAGCTGCACTTGCATATTTAAAGTAGAAGACACCCTGTAATTATGATACAAAGAAAATTGTAATTTACTGCAGCTTTATAATAAGGCAGAAACTTGGAGAAAGTTCAATGTGACAAATATTAACATGGGCTATGTGACAAGATGCATGGGGACAGGGCAGCCAGCTAGCAGGAGTGTGATAATTAACAAGAGACTAGAGGGGCTCCCAATAGTCTCTCCAAATTTGTGTGTGGTTGGCAAAGATTAACAGTTTTTAGGTTCTCTGTCTTATAATGCCACGTTGCTAACCGATTCATAATATACTAGTATTTCCCATTACAAAGCAGATTCATGCAGTCATTGTTCTAACAGAAGTCTCTGTTAAAACTACAGAAACAGGAGCTAAATAAAAGGAAGGCATTTGGGAGAGATGAACAGAAAAAAAGTTTCCTGGAATGTGTCTCTATTTTCCTTAGCTGCAGTGTAAAGTCCCTGTAAGAAGAAGAGGTATTTACTTTGGACTCCTTGTGAGTGGACATTCTGAGGAAGGTGAGGAAGACACACCGATGAAGTCGCTTCTGCATGTCATTCACTTCCGGATGGAAATCCAGTAGTGCATCAAACTTGCGAGGAACATAGCACAGGTATGAATCCAGGCATTTCTGAAGTGTCTCATCAAATATGACCTAGTACAGTGGAACAAAGAAAAATGGCAAACGAGGCAAAACATCACATGATGTGTAGGTAACCCAACTGAATTCAGCAGTGAGCCAGCATGGTCAAAGGGACTCAGAGAACTCACATAACCACCAGTTTCAAGCAAGCAGTTTTAAACTCCATTATCAAAATATTACAATGTCCATGTTATAAAAGATGCAATAGTGCAAATTAAGATGTTAGGAAGCCAACTGCTTCTCTCTATTCAGTCTACTCAGGGAGCTAGCACACAGAGGCATGAATGAGACTATCAGAAATGTCAAGATCTCATTGTTATTTATAAACACTTACAAATCAGATTGTTTTCCTTTAATGTTTATAAAGTAATATTTACCTGGCACCAAAATTTATCGTGAGGCAAAGCCAGAAGCCAGTCCAGATCATCAGAAATGAATTTTGCTCGTTCTAAGAATTCCTCCACAAGGGCATGGTTTCTGATATTAGGTGGTGGTTTGTATAACACAAAAAAACGGTCTGCTTTGATTTCGGGATGCTGTAGAAAGCAAAACAGTGCATTAAGCTAGGGAATTGAAAAACAAGAAGTCAAGTAAGCATTTGCAGAGCTGACAGGACCTCCGATTTTTGAGAAACTGGTGTGCGTTATCAGAAATCCAACTTATGTTTGTTCCTCCCATTCTCTGGCAGTTCTCCATTCTCTGCTCTTTAAAACACTGTAAATCAGTGCATTCTCATCACCCCTAATTTTCAATAATATTTTCAGAATCCTGTATGGTTCAGTACAGGTTGCTCTGTGTGTCCCATTAAGATAAACAATATTCAAGCCTTGCAAGGAAAGCCTCCCACACCTCCAAAACATACAGCAAAAACAAAGTCATCCCTCTGAAATGTCATTCTCTTTCAGTACTGACACTTGAACAGGCTTTCACAAAGTCAAAAGAACTGGGCTCTTCAATCCCCCCTGCCCCCCCCCCAAACCTTCTACTGTCCTATGCACATCAGTTTGCACTGCACTGAGTTATGATTTCGGCTTGCAATTCCATGTAGAGTCCACGTGCAGAGGTTCCAAAGTGTAATGCAGGGGTGGACAATTATTTTGAGTGGAGGGCCACTTACCGAGTTTTGGCAAGTCAGAGGGCCACATGGGTAGCCCTGCCCCTTGACAGGTACCCCACCCCCGGTCACCACCAGAAGTCCCTCCCCTTGCCCCCCAGAAGTACTCCTTTCAGCAAGGGGGTTTGCCATCTCAATACCAAATTATATTCTATATGCCACTACCCGTCCCATCCCGTGTCCCGTCCCCACCCCTGCTCAGGCACCACATCCCAGCTGCTCCTGCAGTCCCAACCATGCAGCTGGGAACAAGGAACCACTGGCGGGCGAACGGGGG